CACTTAAGTGCTATTAGTGTTGGTCGTTGTGGAATGTATTTTACGTTAACTAAGTTTGCAACTGATGTAATGTATTTTTATAATATCAGTTCAGTTGGATGCAGTTATTTATTTAATTCAATTCAACTACGAATATTAAATTCGCAGGTACCGTCTGCATATCATTATATATTTTATACATTTATCAATTGCTTGGATTAACAATATGTCTGCAAATAGTAAACAATAACTATTTACCAAATTCAAATGTCTGATTTCATAAAACTATTTTGCTATCTTTCACTTAATTACAGTAATTACGTAAGATTACACAGGTCTGCGATAAAAAAGTTTTTGTGTAAATTTATCTTAAGCATGCAAATGTTGGTCTATATTTTATGGACTTATGGTAAATCAGAATCATTTCTATGTCAAAATTAGAATGCAATTGGGAGTCGGAGTGAAAAATGTCATCAATACGAGTTTGAAAGAAAAAAGTATTGCTTCCACCACTTTACATTAAACTTGGTTTGATCAAACAGTTTGTAAAGGCATTTCGACTTGACCAACGGTGATCATTTCATATTTAGATATCGAGGTCATGATCTATATAGGTTTTAAGCATATAAAAAAATCGTAAGGACACAAAAAATTACTTTTTAAGAAAAAAGTCAATTCAAAAATCACGTTTTTTTTGTTTATTTTCGATCTTTCCATGCTTTTATATTGTCGGAGGTATTTTTAACCAACACCATCGAAAAGAGCATCGTTAAAAACATAGAAACACTGGCTATTGAATATTTTTTCGTCGCACTCATTACGTGGCAAGGCAATGGAAATTTATGGGTTAATGTGACGTGGTATAAACCATATGAATGTAGTTTTCTATTACTTTTAAGACAATTACNAAATAAAGAAAGAAAGAATCTTAAATAAAGAATCTTAAATAAAGAAAGAAAGAAAGAAAGAATCTTAAATAAAGGCTACAGGAATCTGTAATTTATTACAGGAATCTGTAATCCAAAAATTGAAGTTCAGCTACCCAATCATAGATGGCGCCACCGAGTCCAACTTAAAATTTTCAAAGATAATTACTATACTAAACCATAAATCTTAGAATAATTAAACATATTCAGATTCTGTCACCTTGAATGTTGGATTCATATACACGTATGTATAAGTGTTGAGTTTACAGGAATCTGTGATCTTGAATGTTAAATTCAGAAACCATATTGTTCATTCAAAATTTGTAGGTACTAACCTGTTGCACTTACAGAGACAACCGTTTCTTCTTTGTCACCTTAGTGCCATTAATGACTTTTAACTTAATTTCTATTGCACTGTTTGGTGCATTGAACATGTAACATATTTTATGAAGACAGAAGAAAATAAATTTACCTTGAATTGTAATTAAATCATCAGCAATATAGGGATTTTATATTTAATATTATAAGGTACTTCGATATACATTAATAGATCTACTAAAAACGAGGGACAAAAGTTTTATTAAAATACAAACACAGCCTTAATTGAAAATCTTACGTTTTAATATTAAATATATCAATTTACAGCAATAAACATTTGAACTATTCACTAAAGCAAAGTTTCAAAATCTTCTAAAACTATTTACCCAGCTTTGAGAAGAGACGATAATGAAGAACTACGCAGAATTTTAATGCCAACGGATTTCATGAGTGGGGTCAGTTAGATACTTTTCGGCTTTATTTCTGCTAAAAAAAAATTAAATATAAAACTCTTTATAACGACACGTTAAAAGCATATTTTATTAAAAAAAGCAAAGATATAAGATAGGCAACTAACAGGGAACAAAGGCAAACAGTTAGAAGGTAATTAGCAATTTAATATTTAAGTCATTTAAGCATTTAATTAAAGGGTCATTCCCCTTGAAACCTAATTTAATTTAAAAATACCAATATACAAGACAGGAAACTAACAGGGGACAAGGATAAAAGGATAGGTAAGTAAATAGGAATGAAATAATTAAGTAATGATCCCTTAAAAGCTTCTTTAATTTAAAAATGCAAAGATACAAGACAGGAAACTAACAGGGGACAAGGATACAAGGATAGGTAAGTAAATAGGAATGAAATAATTAAGTAATGATCCCTTAAAAGCTTCTTTAATTTAAAAATGCAAAGATACAAGACAGGAAACTAACAGGGGACAAGGATACAAGGATAGGTAAGTAAATAGGAATGAAATAATTAAGTAATGATCCCTTAAAAGCTTCTTTAATTTAAAAATGCAAAGATACAAGACAGGAAACTAACAGGGGACAAGGATACAAGGATAGGTAAGTAAATAGGAATGAAATAATTAAGTAATGATCCCTTAAAAGCTTCTTTAATTTAAAAATGCAAAGATACAAGACAGGAAACTAACAGGGGACAAGGATACAAGGATAGGTAAGTAAATAGGAATGAAATAATTAAGTAATGATCCCTTAAAAGCTTCTTTAATTTAAAAATGCAAAGATACAAGACAGGAAACTAACAGGGGACAAGGATACAAGGATAGGTAAGTAAATAGGAATGAAATAATTAAGTAATGATCCCTTAAAAGCTTCTTTAATTTAAAAATGCAAAGATACAAGACAGGAAACTAACAGGGGACAAGGATACAAGGATAGGTAAGTAAATAGGAATGAAATAATTAAGTAATGATCCCTTAAAAGCTTCTTTAATTTAAAAATGCAAAGATACAAGACAGGAAACTAACAGGGGACAAGGATACAAGGATAGGTAAGTAAATAGGAATGAAATAATTAAGTAATGATCCCTTAAAAGCTTCTTTAATTTAAAAATGCAAAGATACAAGACAGGAAACTAACAGGGGACAAGGATACAAGGATAGGTAAGTAAATAGGAATGAAATAATTAAGTAATGATCCCTTAAAAGCTTCTTTAATTTAAAAATGCAAAGATACAAGACAGGAAACTAACAGGGGACAAGGATACAAGGATAGGTAAGTAAATAGGAATGAAATAATTAAGTAATGATCCCTTAAAAGCTTCTTTAATTTAAAAATGCAAAGATACAAGACAGGAAACTAACAGGGGACAAGGATACAAGGATAGGTAAGTAAATAGGAATGAAATAATTAAGTAATGATCCCTTAAAAGCTTCTTTAATTTAAAAATGCAAAGATACAAGACAGGAAACTAACAGGGGACAAGGATACAAGGATAGGTAAGTAAATAGGAATGAAATAATTAAGTAATGATCCCTTAAAAGCTTCTTTAATTTAAAAATGCAAAGATACAAGACAGGAAACTAACAGGGGACAAGGATACAAGGATAGGTAAGTAAATAGGAATGAAATAATTAAGTAATGATCCCTTAAAAGCTTCTTTAATTTAAAAATGCAAAGATACAAGACAGGAAACTAACAGGGGACAAGGATACAAGGATAGGTAAGTAAATAGGAATGAAATAATTAAGTAATGATCCCTTAAAAGCTTCTTTAATTTAAAAATGCAAAGATACAAGACAGGAAACTAACAGGGGACAAGGATACAAGGATAGGTAAGTAAATAGGAATGAAATAATTAAGTAATGATCCCTTAAAAGCTTCTTTAATTTAAAAATGCAAAGATACAAGACAGGAAACTAACAGGGGACAAGGATACAAGGATAGGTAGGTAAATAGGAATGTAATAATTAAGTAATGATCCCTTAAAACGTTCTTTAATTAAAATACAAGAAAGGAAACTAACAGAGGACAAGGATAAAAGAATAGGTAAGTAAATAGGAATGTAATAATTAAGTAATGATCCCTTAAAACCTTCTTTAATTTAAAAATGCAAAGATGCAAGACAGGAAACTAACAGGGGACAAAGATAAAAGGATAGGTAGGTATGTAGAATGAAATATTTAAGTAATGACTCCTTAAAAACTTCTTTAATGTAAAAATGCAAATAAACAACAAAGGAAAATAATAGAGAACAAGGATAAAACGGTTAGAAGGTATGTAGCAATGAAATGTTTAAGTAATGACCCCTTGAAACCTAATTTAATTTAAAATTGCAAAGATATGACAGGAAACTAACAGGAGACAAGGATAAAAGGATATGTAGGTAAATAGAAATATAATATTTAAGTAACGATTAACAACATAATGTGTCAGCAAAGGAACTTACCATGCATGCAGATGTGGAATCAGAGTATCCTTTTTCTTTTAAGATAGTTCTAGTCTCTACCAGGATAATAAGACGGTGGAAAGGGTAACGACAGGCAACTGCAACTTCAAATTAAAATTATTATCCCTGTATATATTGCAATTTCAATTGTTTTACTACAATAATAACTTATTGACTTGAAAAATGCTAATATAGGTACAACAAAGGGGACTAACAGGGAACAACGGCAAAACGGTTGGAAGGTAAGTAGGAATGAAATATTTAAGTAAGGACTCCTTAAAACCCTATATAATTTAAAAATGCAAAGATACAAGACAGGAAACTAACAGGAGACAAGGATAAAAGGATAGGTATGTAAATAGGAATGTAATATTCAAGTAAAGATCCCTTCAAACTTTATTTAATTTCAAAATGCCTAGTTACAAGCCAGACAATTAATATGGGACAAGGATAAAAGGGTAGGTAGGTAAATAGGAACATAATATTTAAGTAACGATTAACAATACAATGTGTTAGCAACTCACCATGCAGGCAGATGTGGAATCAGAGTATCCTTTTTCTATCAAGGTAGTTCCAGTCTCTACTAGTAAGACGATGGAAAAGGTAACGACAGGCAACTGCAACTTCAAATTAAAATTATTATCCCTGTATATATTGCAACTCAAATTATATTTTACCAAGTGCAAAATGGTTGAAAGGTAAGTAGGAATGAAATATTTAAGTAAGGACTCCTTAAAACCCTATATAATTTAAAAATGCAAAGATACAAGACAGGAAACTAACAGGGGACAAGGATAAAAGGATAGGTAAGTAAATAGGAATGTAATAATTAAGTAATGATCCCTTAAAAGCTTCTTTAATTTAAAAATGCAAAGATACAAGACAGGAAACTAACAGGGGACAAGGAATCTTAAATAAAGAAAGAAAGAAAGAAAGAATCTTAAATAAAGGCTACAGGAATCTGTAATTTATTACAGGAATCTGTAATCCAAAAATTGAAGTTCAGCTACCCAATCATAGATGGCGCCACCGAGTCAAACTTAAAATTTCCAAAGACCTTCACTATACTAAACCATAAATCTTAGATTAATTAAACATATTCAGATTCTGTGATCTTGAATGTTGGATTCATATACACGTATGTATAAGTGTCGAGTTTACAGGAATCTGTGACCTTGAATGTTAGATTCCGATACCATATTGTTCATTCAAAATTTATAGCTACTAATCTGTTGCACTTACAGAGACAATCGTTTCTTCTTTGTCACCTTAATGCCATTAATGACTTCTAACTTAATTTCTATTGCACTGTTTGGTGCATTGAACATGTAATATATTTTATGAAGACAGAAGAAATTAAATTTACCTTGAATTTTAATTAAATCATCAGCAATATAGGGCTTTTATATTTAATATTATAAGGTACTTCGATATACATTAATCAATCTACTAAAAACGAGGGACAAAAGTTTTATTAAAATACAAACACAGCCTTAATTGAAAATCTTACGTTTTAATATTAAATATATCAATTTACAGCAATAAACATTTGAACTATTCACTAAAGCAAAGTTTCAAAATCTTCTAAAACTATTTACCCAGCTTTGAGAAGAGACGATAATGAAGAACTACGCAGAATTTTAATGCCAACGGATTTCATGAGTGGGGTCAGTTAGATACTTTTCGGCTTTATTTCTGCTAAAAAAAAATTAAATATAAAACTCTTTATAACGACACGTTAAAAGCATATTTTATTAAAAAAAGCAAAGATATAAGATAGGCAACTAACAGGGAACAAAGGCAAACAGTTAGAAGGTAATTAGCAATTTAATATTTAAGTCATTTAAGCATTTAATTAAAGGGTCATTCCCCTTGAAACCTAATTTAATTTAAAAATACCAATATACAAGACAGGAAACTAACAGGGGACAAGGATAAAAGGATAGGTAAGTAAATAGGAATGAAATAATTAAGTAATGATCCCTTAAAAGCTTCTTTAATTTAAAAATGCAAAGATACAAGACAGGAAACTAACAGGGGACAAGGATACAAGGATAGGTAAGTAAATAGGAATGAAATAATTAAGTAATGATCCCTTAAAAGCTTCTTTAATTTAAAAATGCAAAGATACAAGACAGGAAACTAACAGGGGACAAGGATACAAGGATAGGTAAGTAAATAGGAATGAAATAATTAAGTAATGATCCCTTAAAAGCTTCTTTAATTTAAAAATGCAAAGATACAAGACAGGAAACTAACAGGGGACAAGGATACAAGGATAGGTAAGTAAATAGGAATGAAATAATTAAGTAATGATCCCTTAAAAGCTTCTTTAATTTAAAAATGCAAAGATACAAGACAGGAAACTAACAGGGGACAAGGATACAAGGATAGGTAAGTAAATAGGAATGAAATAATTAAGTAATGATCCCTTAAAAGCTTCTTTAATTTAAAAATGCAAAGATACAAGACAGGAAACTAACAGGGGACAAGGATACAAGGATAGGTAAGTAAATAGGAATGAAATAATTAAGTAATGATCCCTTAAAAGCTTCTTTAATTTAAAAATGCAAAGATACAAGACAGGAAACTAACAGGGGACAAGGATACAAGGATAGGTAAGTAAATAGGAATGAAATAATTAAGTAATGATCCCTTAAAAGCTTCTTTAATTTAAAAATGCAAAGATACAAGACAGGAAACTAACAGGGGACAAGGATACAAGGATAGGTAAGTAAATAGGAATGAAATAATTAAGTAATGATCCCTTAAAAGCTTCTTTAATTTAAAAATGCAAAGATACAAGACAGGAAACTAACAGGGGACAAGGATACAAGGATAGGTAAGTAAATAGGAATGAAATAATTAAGTAATGATCCCTTAAAAGCTTCTTTAATTTAAAAATGCAAAGATACAAGACAGGAAACTAACAGGGGACAAGGATACAAGGATAGGTAAGTAAATAGGAATGAAATAATTAAGTAATGATCCCTTAAAAGCTTCTTTAATTTAAAAATGCAAAGATACAAGACAGGAAACTAACAGGGGACAAGGATACAAGGATAGGTAAGTAAATAGGAATGAAATAATTAAGTAATGATCCCTTAAAAGCTTCTTTAATTTAAAAATGCAAAGATACAAGACAGGAAACTAACAGGGGACAAGGATACAAGGATAGGTAAGTAAATAGGAATGAAATAATTAAGTAATGATCCCTTAAAAGCTTCTTTAATTTAAAAATGCAAAGATACAAGACAGGAAACTAACAGGGGACAAGGATACAAGGATAGGTAAGTAAATAGGAATGAAATAATTAAGTAATGATCCCTTAAAAGCTTCTTTAATTTAAAAATGCAAAGATACAAGACAGGAAACTAACAGGGGACAAGGATACAAGGATAGGTAAGTAAATAGGAATGAAATAATTAAGTAATGATCCCTTAAAAGCTTCTTTAATTTAAAAATGCAAAGATACAAGACAGGAAACTAACAGGGGACAAGGATACAAGGATAGGTAAGTAAATAGGAATGAAATAATTAAGTAATGATCCCTTAAAAGCTTCTTTAATTTAAAAATGCAAAGATACAAGACAGGAAACTAACAGGGGACAAGGATACAAGGATAGGTAAGTAAATAGGAATGAAATAATTAAGTAATGATCCCTTAAAAGCTTCTTTAATTTAAAAATGCAAAGATACAAGACAGGAAACTAACAGGGGACAAGGATACAAGGATAGGTAAGTAAATAGGAATGAAATAATTAAGTAATGATCCCTTAAAAGCTTCTTTAATTTAAAAATGCAAAGATACAAGACAGGAAACTAACAGGGGACAAGGATACAAGGATAGGTAAGTAAATAGGAATGAAATAATTAAGTAATGATCCCTTAAAAGCTTCTTTAATTTAAAAATGCAAAGATACAAGACAGGAAACTAACAGGGGACAAGGATACAAGGATAGGTAAGTAAATAGGAATGAAATAATTAAGTAATGATCCCTTAAAAGCTTCTTTAATTTAAAAATGCAAAGNGTAACCTTTGTAATTTCGCAAAACATTGATGTAAATAAACATACGCTTTTTTTCTTCTGTAATTAGTAATATTAATATAAATATAAGTTCCTACCACGTCCCCACGACCGACACGCCAAATTACAGATTCCTGTAATTTCGTGTAATTTCGCGTAATTTCGCGTAATTTTTGGCGCTGCCACCTGGCATGAAACCTCAAAACTAAAGATAATAGCGATAATAATAACAATAATTTTGGGTTTTGGGGTTTCATGATGGGTGGCAGCACCGTAGCATTTGCAGGTGATTGGTAAACCAATATTTATGGAGCTCAAGTCCGGTATATTGGGTTAGGGGGCGGGCTTCAAGGGGGCCCCCTTCTAACCCATTTATCCAGCCCTACAAGCTTAAAACCTTTAAATAAAGAATCTTAAATAAAGAAAGAAAGAATCTTAAATAAAGAATCTTAAATAAAGAAAGAAAGAATCTTAAATAAAGAATCTTAAATAAAGAAAGAAAGAAAGAAAGAATCTTAAATAAAGGCTACAGGAATCTGTAATTTATTACAGGAATCTGTAATCCAAAAATTGAAGTTCAGCTACCCAATCATAGATGGCGCCACCGAGTCCAACTTAAAATTTTCAAAGATAATTACTATACTAAACCATAAATCTTAGAATAATTAAACATATTCAGATTCTGTCACCTTGAATGTTGGATTCATATACACGTATGTATAAGTGTTGAGTTTACAGGAATCTGTGATCTTGAATGTTAAATTCAGAAACCATATTGTTCATTCAAAATTTGTAGGTACTAACCTGTTGCACTTACAGAGACAACCGTTTCTTCTTTGTCACCTTAGTGCCATTAATGACTTTTAACTTAATTTCTATTGCACTGTTTGGTGCATTGAACATGTAACATATTTTATGAAGACAGAAGAAAATAAATTTACCTTGAATTGTAATTAAATCATCAGCAATATAGGGATTTTATATTTAATATTATAAGGTACTTCGATATACATTAATAGATCTACTGAAAACGAGGGACAAAAGTTTTATTAAAATACAAACACAGCCTTAATTGAAAATCTTACGTTTTAATATTAAATATATCAATTTACAGCAATAAACATTTGAACTATTCACTAAAGCAATGTTCCAAAATCTTCTAAAACTATTTACCCAGCTTTGAGAAGAGACGATAATGAAGAACTACGCAGAACCTTATAGTGTCAAGGGATTTCATGAGCGGGGTCAATTAGATACTTTCCGGCTTTATTTCTGCTAAAAAAAAATTAAATATAAAACAAAGCTAAATTAGTAAAAGATTAAAGGTATTCACAAAATTTAAATATGTAATCATGTAAAAAAGTACATAGAAAGGTAAGTAGATAAGCAACTATAAAATATCTACGTAATTACTCTTTATAACGACACCTTAAAAGCCTATTTTATTTAAAAAAGCAAAGATATAAGATAGGCAACTAACAAGAAACAAGAGTAAAACGGCTAGAAGTTCAGTAGCAATGAAATATTTAAGTAATGACCCCTTTAAACCTAATTTAATTTAAAAATAAAAAGATACAAGACCGGAAACTAACAGCGGACAAGGATAAATGGATAGGTAGGTAAATAGGAATGTAATAATTAAGTAATGATCCCTTAAAACGTTCTTTAATTAAAATACAAGAAAGGAAACTAACAGAGGACAAGGATAAAAGAATAGGTAAGTAAATAGGAATGTAATAATTAAGTAATGATCCCTTAAAACCTTCTTTAATTTAAAAATGCAAAGATGCAAGACAGGAAACTAACAGGGGACAAAGATAAAAGGATAGGTAGGTATGTAGAATGAAATATTTAAGTAATGACTCCTTAAAAACTTCTTTAATGTAAAAATGCAAATAAACAACAAAGGAAAATAATAGAGAACAAGGATAAAACGGTTAGAAGGTATGTAGCAATGAAATGTTTAAGTAATGACCCCTTGAAACCTAATTTAATTTAAAATTGCAAAGATATGACAGGAAACTAACAGGAGACAAGGATAAAAGGATATGTAGGTAAATAGAAATATAATATTTAAGTAACGATTAACAACATAATGTGTCAGCAAAGGAACTTACCATGCATGCAGATGTGGAATCAGAGTATCCTTTTTCTTTTAAGATAGTTCTAGTCTCTACCAGGATAATAAGACGGTGGAAAGGGTAACGACAGGCAACTGCAACTTCAAATTAAAATTATTATCCCTGTATATATTGCAATTTCAATTGTTTTACTACAATAATAACTTATTGACTTGAAAAATGCTAATATAGGTACAACAAAGGGGACTAACAGGGAACAACGGCAAAACGGTTGGAAGGTAAGTAGGAATGAAATATTTAAGTAAGGACTCCTTAAAACCCTATATAATTTAAAAATGCAAAGATACAAGACAGGAAACTAACAGGAGACAAGGATAAAAGGATAGGTATGTAAATAGGAATGTAATATTCAAGTAAAGATCCCTTCAAACTTTATTTAATTTCAAAATGCCTAGTTACAAGCCAGACAATTAATATGGGACAAGGATAAAAGGGTAGGTAGGTAAATAGGAACATAATATTTAAGTAACGATTAACAATACAATGTGTTAGCAACTCACCATGCAGGCAGATGTGGAATCAGAGTATCCTTTTTCTATCAAGGTAGTTCCAGTCTCTACTAGTAAGACGATGGAAAAGGTAACGACAGGCAACTGCAACTTCAAATTAAAATTATTATCCCTGTATATATTGCAACTCAAATTATATTTTACCAAACTTTAAAAAACATATTATAAGACTTCAATTGTATATATAGAAAAACGCAAAAAAATTAATGTAAATGAATGGTCAGACCATAAACCAGATGGAGGGTTACTGCTTTACTTAAATATTCAGAACCAGTATGCAGTTATTAAACATATAGAATGTTTGAAAATAAATTAATATGTGCGTACAAGCAGTAACCCTCCAAAACGTATGTTCTTTGACTATTAATTATATTTATATTTTACAAACAAATGTATAACACCTAACTAGTAGAACTATAAGTAAAAAACAAATAGTTGTGTAATTATTTGACCGCCACCCTGGAAAAAAAAACTACATAAATATAAGTTTGTGAAGTAAAATACAAAATACTTCTAAGAGAAAGGATGAAAATACAAAGAAAAACGTCATTTTATTCACAGTTACATCAATATTTAAACTCTAGCTGAAATTTTCTGTATAATATTGACTGTTAATAATTTAAACATTTAAATGTTATTTACAGCAACTCAAAAATGCTACAAACAGTTGATAGCATTAATGTCCTACTTTATTTAGGTCCTTTAAACAATTTTACCCATTATGGGAGATAATATTCCATCTAATGGTTCAATGATAACTATAGTTGTGTAAAAAATGGTTTAAAGTGCCTAAAATCTTAATTTTATAACTGGTACAAAATCGTTATACTGAATCGTACACGACGCAAAAATAAAATGCATTCATAAGTATTATAATTCTAAAACTTTTGTTACATATGCATAATTAATTACTTGATGTCCGTGTAACTATTGAACCTATTGATGAATTCGTCCTGCAAGGAAACATGCAATTTCCTGATGGCATCTTCATAGATCCTCTGGAAATGTTGCTTCAAATCTGTCTTGAGGAAATCCTGACAAAATTGACAGTAATTAATCCACACATCGACGTCTTCATGGCCAAACTGTTCAACTGCAAGTTGATATACTTTTTCCAATGTTTTTACATTTATTCCTAATTCCATCATTTCCAATTTTGACATTGTAATGTGAAGTTTCTTTGAATAGGGTTTTTCATTTGCCATTGAATAATAAGCTTCTCTAACGGCCCTGAAGTCTTTGGTGGTGGCTAACCATTCCAAATATTGACATTTGAGAGACTCTGAAACTTCTGGTGGTTCTCTGATGCCCTTTTTGTAAACGATTTCAATTTCGTCGTTTTTAAATTTGAGCAGATGATAGCGAATTAGGGCGTTCCATAAAGGAAGGGCCTTTTCTTTGAGTTTTTCTATACCTTTCTTAAATGTATTCAAAATTTCTTCGTCGTTTTCAGTCATTATTAAATACTGCAGGCGTGCTTTCCATAGAAACACTGATCGAGGAATTGCAGTTGTCCCTAGACAATAATAAACAATTTTAAGAATGCATTCTATAAGCACATAATTAACGCTCAATAAATTAATAAATAAACTGTTTTTTCTATTACGTTCAGATTGGCTTAATTAAACTATAGTGCAGCACAGTAAAAGTTATCTCAATATATCTAAACAAAATTAAACGAAAAAAAAAAAATTAATTTGTGAAAATAATTACCTTTTTCTGCAATTTTTAATCCTTCTTCGTCATTGGTTGCATATTCTAGCCATCGTATATAATAGTTTTCACTCATAAACTCTTCATTACTTGCTTGCTCAAACACTTTTCTTAGCATGTTCAATTTAAATTCGTGTGCAACACCTAATATGTCGTGCTGCAATTCTAGCAGAAAATCCAAGTAAAAGGACCACATTTTCTCTTTCTTATCACTTGGAACTTTCTCAACACCCTCTTCATATTTGTTAATGGCTGCCTTTAATCGTCCTTTTGTTGACTGTCCATTGTACTCAAAAGTTGGATTTGTCTGGTAATGTAAACCTAAGAACAATTATTATTTTTAATTCCTTGGGATGAAACCACAAAAACTGTTTATTTGAAATAGTATTAATAGTGTTGGTACCTTTTGTTTCACGTACAGCCAATTTATGCCACACCAGTTCATTGCTCCAATATTTGTTCAGCAAATGTTTGATGATCAGTTGTTGAACTTCTTCAGTAAATTTGTACTTATCAAACATTTCCAAAATTTCAATGTAAAACTCACAATTGTCAACATGCTCAATTGCATGTTTGAGATAAACTTTTATTTTGTCCAGGCCAAGCTTTCTTTTCTTCTGCAGTTCCTCTTCGGTTTCTTCACTACTTTCATGTTTCATACTGTCACTTTTCTGTTCTTGTTTTCCAACAGCAAATATTAATTCCATCTGAATTCCTTCCTTGTAAAGAAGTTTGAAATCCTTGTGGATAGAAAGTCCTTTCAGTATTATTTCTCTTGCTGTATCCAAATCATTGCAATCATAGGCATACCAATTTGCTGCCACATACCACACCTTTTCTTCATTTGGATGTTTCTATAAAACATGCTTTATGAATCACTAATTAATTAATTAATATCAAAGCATTACCTGTATCATTTTTGTTACGATGTTATTCGTGGTGTTCACATAATTAACTCGTTTGCAAAACTTGAAAAATTGAATGAACAACAGGAAGTCATTTGGGTAATACTGAATTGCCATTTCATACAATTCCCGAATTCTTTTTATTATTCGATGTTCAATTGCGTCCTTTTTCTCTCCAACACGAAATTTATCTCTTCGTAATCGAATGTCTTTTAGTAATGTTTGCTCATACACAATGTACTCCCGAAAGTCTTGCAACGTTTTGTTTAAACCATGAATTTTATACTCAAAGTCAGTTCGTTTTTTCGTTATACGTCTAAAACACTCTGTTAAAGGCAACCTATTTTTATACAAACATTACACATACCTGATTTCTTCATGAGTGTACAACTTGGTACAGAACATACTTTCAAGCTCAACAGTCATTGTTTCCATATTTTTCTGGGCTATTTCAGCCATTGTATAAGCTGTAAAAGAATCTGCCCCTAATCTAAGTATCAATCTACATAAACAGTAACATTTCTAGCTCTACTTACAAGATTTTTTCTAATAAATGTTCAATTAAACTCATGCCACCTGACAAATCAAACAACTGATCATAGATCACAAACCTAACCTGCAATTAGCAGCCATTGATTAACTATAGATAAATGTATAAGCGGAGTCATAGAGTAATAATATATTTTTGATGTACAGGGCGGATGAAAATTCGCAACCAAATTCGATTAATTAAACCGTACAAATTTGGAAAAAATCTCTTTTTTTAGGTACTAAACAGACTTTTTAATACTTTCATTTGATTTTGACTATAAATTAAGTACAAAATTAAAAATATAGTAAGATTGTTTTATCGAATTTAATTCAAATATTTGTTTTTTACAAATAGAAACCAGCATTTAAAAAAATAGAACTTCTTACCTTTATCCAACTCCACTTCAACACCTGAAAAAAATGATATTCACTGTAACAAATAATTTATTTCTTTTTGAAATAAAAAAGGAAATTTTAGTGGCATGAGTAAAAGTTTATTTTCTTCTTGATACAATCTTAATTATACTAATAAATACTAAAACAACAAGTGCTGATGTATAACTACATAATATTAGACAAATAAGCCGATAAAATACATTGATTAAATGTATATATTACCATCAAACGGGGAAGATTCCGCATTATATTTGTTAGCTATGTTGCGAACGTTATTTATTAATTTAACTTGTTTACTTTTGTAAATAACATGCAACAAATAAATAGTAAGTATATAGAAAAGTGTAACAATTTAAAATGATCAACATTTTGCAATAAAAAAATATAGTGGCTTACCTTTATCTCGCAGCAGATACAAGACAAACATACGACAGACAATTCTTATTTCTTTATCTATTAACAACAAGGTAAGCAACATCTTACCAAGCATGCGTACAAATTATCGTTATTCATTTATTATAATTACTTTTTTAATTATTTAATATTATTTTTCATTTATAATCCATCTGCCGATTGATTTGCTTGTTTTACTCATCTTCTTATTAATTGGAATTTGTGCAATCGGATTAGTAAATAAAATAAATCAATTTAATAAATATTAGTTCAGACTTATTACAAGTATCGCGGCGGGGTAGGGGGAGGCGGCAATAATATTATACGGGGGGCAAAGCCCAAAGGGTAGCAGTTTTATCGGCTGACGCTGACAGGAATGAGAACTCCGTAGGGTGCCAGCGGCCTGAAATAACTTTGTCCTGGTGTTGAGCTACTACCACGCTTGGTAGAGGTAAAGTCAAGTCACCTGGAATTGTTAAAATTATCCTGAATAAAATTTTTTGAATACCTACGACGTAAAACTTGATAAGAGGCAAAAAAATTCAGAATAAGGGCCAAATTTTAACAGACATCTCCAATGAAACATTTTCAACTGAATGAACGAGAAAAACTTCGAATCGTACAATTGGAGAACTTCATTCACGTTAGATCGACCAATGGGGATCACAATTTGACTTGGAATGACTCATTTTCAAAATACTTAAGTACCAAAATATTTTTGGATGCCTCAATAAACTTCTAACATCAGCAATTTACCTTGCAAGTCCGTCAAAACAAGTTTGTTGTCATAACCTCCGGTCAGAAGATAGTATGCAGAAGGAGAAAACCTGATGGATCTAACATCTGCCGAATGGGGTTTAAACGTCTGTACATTTCTTCCTCCCCTGATGTCGTACAAGACACAAGAACTGTCTTCATGACCTGAAACGAGTAATCTTCCCGAAGGATCGACGCAGAGACTAGCAACGGGAGATCCTTGTCGAGTTCCAGGGACCGTAACGGGCGTGACAAGGTTGACGCATCCCCTGGTCCTCAAATCCCAAAATCTTACAGTTTTATCATGAGAACCACTGACAAACATTGCACCACCCCATGTGTAAAGCGAAAGAATGTGACCTGTGTGACCGCTGAGGGCCTGGAACGGGGTACCAGTCGAACAATCGGTCACGTATATTTTACAATCTCCAGCACCACCGCTGATAAGAAGGCTGGATTTGTTCGAAGTGTCCTCAAGGAAGCAAAGATCCCTGACTGTACCGTCATGCATAGACAGTTCGATTTCTTCGCCTTCCAAATTGGAAGTGTCAGAATTAAAACGCATTAGTTTTACTGTTTTATCGTTGGAGCCCGTTGCCATAAGGTCACCCATTGGCGACCAGGCCAGACAATATATCGACCCCTTGTGGTGTTTGGTTCGTTTGAAGAGTACCATTGGCTGATACGTCTGGTGATCTTCCCTGTACGATTTTTCACATTAAAAAGTGACAAAAAGAACCAACAGCAAACAAAGCACCGCATATGCCAAAAACAAAAAAAAAATTGCACGTACCTGAGATCGTTGAGTTTGGGGTATGCGCAGATCCTGAGTGTTTTGGAGTTTGAACCGACTGCGTAAAGTTGACCTCCTGGGTGAAATTCTGCACATCTGACTGCCTGGACGTCTTCCAGAGTGGTAACGGCCACAAATCTTGGTCTTGAACCATTGCTATCGCTGCTGTTGTCTACACTTACTGGCTTAGAAACAGGCTGCAACAAAAAAAAACCATTATGACTATAAAGACTCCCAAAAGGAAACTTGGCAGATGTTTGCTTTTTTCAAATGAATTTTTATCTTTTTTTAGTGAAAGTTCGCTGTCCATAAACTGCGCATTTAAAACAGTACTTTCACTAAAGTACATGTGAAGAATATTTTTTTTAAGATTACAGTATTCGATTTTATTGTTAATTTTTTTCTTCTTGATTTTTTTATCCTAATACATTAGAAAGTTTTTAGAGTTTACGAGGCGTAAATATAAATATATTCCCTAAAAATTTAATAAACAAGAAAAATATTTACGTCAATTAATATAACATAAACCCCGAGCAGAATTACACCAAGAGAAAAGATATAATAAGGCTGGTATATATAATGTGTGGCATATGTTAGATGCACCAGGTAACATACTTTTACATTTTTATAAGGAGCATTTGCTATACATCTGGGTACTAATAGCCATTTCAATGAGCAATAAAATGAAGCAAGATTAGTGTTGGTATCATTATAGAGAACTAGTTTCTTATAGAAGAAGCAGATGTAAGACAATATAATACACGTACGTATCCTATCGCTGTCGGGTGCATTAAAAGAAAAAAAACATATAAAATCTAATCTCCTTATTAGTTCAGTCAGGACAAAAGGGTGGATGAACAATTGACTAGCTACGATGCAAATGAACTGGGTCTCTAAGCTTGACCGATGCTATAACTTTTTCATTAATTTATGTTTATTTTAACCTTTTACTAATTTTTTTTTTGATACTAAATGAATTAACCAAGGACAATGAAACGTTATAAACATTGGTTATACCTGTCCTGAAATACTGAATAAAATCCTTGTTATATTATGAGTAGAAAGAATATTTTACATAAGAATGTCACCTTCTTCTGCTTTTGTCTTGGGTTTTTTAAAGGTACCAACGAGTTTAAAAATACTTTTAACTTTCTTTTGATTACAAAATGTGTGCACATGTAATTAATGAGTTAATTAACACATCAAGTTTTTAATAACTGCTGCGTGCAATGCACTATAATCCTTAAACTGAACTGCGTTCGTCAATTTTCGTTGTTATATAAGTTTCTTATCGACATTTGGAGTAATAATTATTTATTTAACTCCATAAACATATCCTTGACAGAAGATGTGCAATATTGCAATTTTTGTACGACAATCAATGAATCAATCATTTCTTTCCACCTACACACCAAGCCATGTCAGTTTGCAATGCAACATTAATTTCAAGGCGTTTTATGATGGTTTATCTATTCTATTCTAATTTACATGAATATTTGGTTTTGAAATCTCTAGATACGAGGGCGGTTCAATAAGTACCCGTGTTTGAAGACAGAGGATGTTCCTGAGGGAAATTGGTGTTGTCATCGTGTGCTGCCATGTATCAAACCACGCCAAAATGAATTTCAGACTGATTGATAGGTTAGTTTGATTCGACTGAGACGTGTTTCGTTATTTTCCCTAAGATGGAAAAAGAGCAGTATCGTTCGGTAACTCGCTTTTTGTTTTCGGATGGGAAAAAATGCGAGGAGATGAAAACAAAGTTGGACACTGTTTATGGAGACATTTCGCCATCTACGACCACAGTTAGATATTGCTTCAACGAATTTAAACGTGGGCAAAGATCCGTTTTTGATAGGAACGACCAGGAAGCCTGGCAAACGTTGTTACCGAGGAAATCATTTTACGGATTTTTTAGGAAAAGGAAGAACGATCACTGGACAATATTACAATGAGTTATTGGACCGCTTCGACAAAAAATTGAAGGAGACACGGACGCATTTGACGAAAAAGAAGGTGCGTTTTCAACACGATAACGCACCGGCACATTCAACAGGAGTTGTTGCCGCCAAACTGCATGAATTATGTTATGAATTTGCTGCCGCACACCCCGTACTCACTCGATTTGACTCCCTGCGACTTCGTCTTGTTCCCTACCATGAAGAAATGACTAGGGAGAAAGACATTTAGCTCAAACGAGGAAGTCATCGCCGAGACAGGGGGGATTTTGGAGAGTTCGACAAATCTTATTTTTTGCAGTGGTAAAAAAATGGCAGGGTCGTTGGGAGAAGTGTATATTTCTAAAAGGGGACTATGTTGAAAAATAAAAAAAAAAAATTTAAGAAAAAAGGTGTCTTCATTTCTAACACGGGTACTTATTGAACCGACCCTCGTATTTAGTAGATATGCATGCATCAATTTATGAAAGCAACACTTAAAAAGGGTTGTCAGTTTTCAAAATTTCGATCTTATTTCTGTTAGTACTTTTACCTATTGCTGCCTGTATACGAGTTTTATTTAAATCTAAATTACCCACCATAAACAGAAATGAGTAAATTTCATACGTGCTTACGAAGGCCGTTTGAATAATGATCAACATTTATTAACGACAATAATTATACTTTCGGTTTAAAAAATAAATGCCCGCTAATCGTAATTATTCAATTTACATGCATTCAATATCAGCAATTTTATTTTTCTGATATATTCAGGTTATAGTTGTTTCAAGGCAATAATTTATTACTTCGTTTACGTATTCATCGGACTTACTTGATACACGAACACTTATTACAAGGTACGCCATGATTTCGTTTTCCTTTTGATTATTTATTCAAGCCTGTGGCAGACAAGTATAGCGACAATTTAACGAGATTAAGATAGATATTATTCAGTGAAAACGCATTCGGTCATTACGAATAACGATAAGTAGATCATGACTGCTAATGATGCAAATCAAAATAGTTAAATGAATCTGAATTCGATTTCAGTGGAATCCCTTTTGACGCACCATTTAACTTTCCCCTTTAATCCTAAGGCAAATTACTAAAAATAGACAAAAGATTAGTAATAAATTTAAACGTTATTAGATACTTTAAGGTACGGAAAAGTGGAACATTCAGGTACAAATAACGAAGTCCTGTTTCTCCTTCTAATATGTCTAGTCCTTCCTGTCTGAGAAGGTGTTCCATTTATAAGCCTATCAAAGATTTCATAGATTTATTCAAGATTCATACATACAACAAGCTAGCACGACTAAGATATATTTCTTATTTCTACAGTGCATCCTCATCCTTTTGTAGCTACAGCCGGGTACTGGGAAACAGATGAAATGCGAGCTTGATATCAAGTCGGAATTGCACTAAGCGTACTTTGAAATTGAAATAGCGTGGAGAAATACTGCATAAGAGCTATGATTTGTCGCTGGTTATCCAGCGAATGATGACGGGAGAACCGCCAAACTGGCACTACACATAGCACTTCTCGGAATAGAAATGACGGAAAAATATCATAAGTGCTGTAATTTGTCACTGAAACGAAAAACGATTGGGAAGCCGTCAAACTGGCACTGCACTAAGTATCTTGAAATACAATATCGTAGAATAGCTTGACGGCTCTTCAATCGTTTTTTGCTGATCAACTCGAGGCCAAGATTCACGCCAAAATGGAAAATGTACTGTCCTTCATCGACAAATTACAGCTCTTATGGTATTTATCTGCGCCATTTCTATTCCGAATGGGCTACGTGTAGTATAACCGTGGCAGTTCTCAATTTGTCTTTCGCTGCGGACAGCTGGAGGTTCGACCATAGACAAAATGGATAAAAGCACTTTTCTTTCGTTTCTTCATCTATTAAGTGACAAATTAGTGACAAATCATAGCCCTTACAGTATTTCCTTTTAATTTTGAGATACGCTATGCGTAGGTCTCCCGTTGGCTAGATTGGATAGTTCGTTCAGCTACAAAATTAGTAAAGATACCATGAAAAATATATTTTTGTCGCGATACCTTGAAAAGAATTCAACGAACTGTGTAGCTACAATTGTACAAACCTACTGTTAGATTTATTTATAAATAAAGAAAAAAATAGCTTCGTGCTGTTCTACTATTTACTGTGCACCGAGTTACTTCATGTGCCTATATGAATTGAACTAATTACAATAATGGTCCGCAGGATTAACAAGCTTATTCTATCAAATCAAGAAAGCGTAGCAACTATGTGCCTACATATTACCTATCTACAATACGATAGCACACTAATTTAATGTAAATAAATGTAGGAAATACAAACAAGTAGACCCCGGCAGTTAAATTAATTCAAATTCGTATTTCGAGCAAGCACTTTTACTACTGGCATTCAAAAAGTAATGAGCAGTACAGGAACTTTTTAACGATAACTCTGCTATATATCCGAAGAACTACTTTCTACGTATTTACATATATGTCGTTTGGTATTACAGTAATTTTTTGAAAGTTGGTTAAATGCAATAAAAAATAAACACTTGTACGAAATATGAATTGGTGCATTATTTTCATACAAAATAATACCTACATAAGATTAGTTTTTAGAATGTATGAATGAATCGATTGTTCTGAAGTGAAGAAAACGAAATGATATTCATAACGCTTTCGAAAAAATAAAATTTCAATAAACCGTTGTCCTGTAAGGATATAGTAGTATACATGTTTTCAACCGAAATCCCTATTTTTTTTGATAGAATATCTAATTTCAAAATCCTTTTTTCAAATTTGAAAGAATATCCTTTTTTACATGTGCCAATTTGTGTTGTGTTCTCCAAGGATAATTTTTGAACACACATTAAAACAGTGTAATTATAAGATAATTTAAAATATTATTTTCTGTTATTGTACTTATTATTTCATTAAAAGTGAAAATTTATCCGTTAGTTCTCGGCAGGTTCATACGCATAGATATCATTTTTGAGGTCATTAAGTGTAATAAATCAATAATAGCACTTTCTTATTATAATCATGTAGAAAACTGGATAAAAATATCAGTCCACTAACAATTTCTCTTTATGAAATATTGAAAGTGAAAGATATGCAGCAATGTTTTATTTAGCATATTCAAATCATGCCTTATTTATAAATAATCAAGCATAAAGTAAGTACATAATTTTTCCAAATAACTATAAAGTTATTAGTTAATTTAATTCTCTATTAATCCAAGTGATTATAA